ACTGAAGTAACCTATCCAATTGACCAGGCTTAAATGCCAGTACACTCAGGAAGACTTCAATCAAGAAAACACTTCCTCTGAAGTAGCTAAATCTAGAACTAAAAAGAAAAGACAGGTGAAGTCATTAAAGAAAAAAAAAGTGAGGCTAAGCCCTCAGTTGTCTAAAGAAGGAATACTGAAAATGAGCCTCTTCAGATTTTCACTCTTATTTTCCCTATTCAATTGTTGTGGATGTGAGGAACAAGCCTGCCAACATTACTGTTAGACAATTACTAAAGGCTGTCCTCCTCTATGCAGACAGGATTATCTAAGAGTCTTTAAAAGAAAAAGTTGTCTAAGAGAAAAAGTCATGTTTTTGGCAACTTCCAACCAACTAACAAAGCTACCACTATATACTGTGATACTTCCATTAATAGAATAGTTATTTCATTAATAATTGATAGTAGCTCTTCAGAAATTGTTGTCACTATCTCCTTTCTTCAAGAAATAGATATGAAGATCGAAAGATTATTTACTATTAATATAAAAATATATACCTCCAAAGCCACAGGCTATTGAAGAAATTTCTGATTTTCCATTTAAGGTAGAAGAGTGAAAGTTTCCAATGATGTAATTGTTACCGATACTACTTTATAAAAAGCCATTATAGAAAACAATTGGCTCTCCAAGGTGAATACCAAAATTAATTATATTGATGAAACAATGAGTTTTGTATAGAAGAACTAACAGGTCATTATTCCTATAAAATTTTATAAGCTCAAGCATAGCCTCTATCAAGAAAACCAATCTTCTAGAATTATTAAGCCAGAAGAAGCATCAGAGTCTAAAGAGGAGGAAACAGAAAGTGAATATGAAAAGAAAGAACTAGAAGATTAAATCTTCGAGGAAGACAAATTTTTAACCTCTGCCTTCTCTTATTTTTCAAACCAGTTGAATCTGACTTTGTTTCTTTAGAGAATTGGGGTTTTCTGAATTCTACCTATTATGATTCTGATCAAGACACTGACAACTTCTATGGTGACACCCCTTGTCTAGAACAAGGGGTCCATAAAGCTTAGTAGAATCTGAATAGTGACAATGACTATTTAGAAGAGAACATTTTTAATTTTGATGTCGACGAGCCTGACAAGGATCATGATTTTTTCTTTGATGAAATCAAAGAGTTCCCTTATGAGTTAAATGTTAGTCAACTTGACACTAAGAACAATAATTAGTTGAATAGATTGTTGTCAACTTATAATAACATTTTCGCTTGGATGTCACAAGACTTGAGGCGCACCAATTTAGTTACTCACAAAATTTATACCAGCAATGCTGCCCCCATAAGACAAAAACTCTACTATATCTTTTCTAGAGAAAAAGATTTTCTTGAGAAGGAAATTGGTCACATGCTAGAAGAAATTGTTTTATAGCCCTTAGATAGCTCATGGGCCTCCTCTATTATCCTAGTTAAACAAAAAGACAAGACTTACTTTTGTATTAACTATTATCAGTTGAATGCTATAACCTGCAAAGACAGTTATGCTTATCCATATAGATGACCTTCTCAATATCTTTTCTAATTCTGCTTGGTATACCGTTTTTGATCTTGCCAGCAGATATTGGCAAATTAAGATGCACCTTGATAACAAAGAAAAGACTACCTTTACCTTCTAGTATGGCATATACGAATTTAACATTATGCTATTCAGCCTCACCAATGCCCCTGTCACTTTTTAAAAACTTATAGATACTCTTTTAAGAGATATTAATGGCAAGTTTGTCATTGTATATCTGAATGATATTAATGTCTTTTTTTTGAACTTTGTCAATTACCTCCAACACTTAAGAGAGGTTTTTTGGCATCTTAAGAGTACAGGTCTGCAGTTGAGTCCTTGTAAATATCACTTCACCAAAAGAAAACTCAAATTTTTGAGATATGTATTGGTCTTAGTGATATCTCAACTAATCCAAAAAAGGTTGAGGCTGTTAAGAATTTTCTAATTTCAAAGAATCTACACTAGTTAAGAGGGTTCTTAGACCTTGTATTGTACTACAAAAAGTTTATTTTGAACTTTTACAAATTGCTGCTTCTTTTAATCTTCTTTTAAAGAAGAATTCTAAATATACCTGGATGACCAAACAGAGTGAAGCCTTCAGTATCTTGAAGAACCACCTTGTATCTGCCCTTATTTTAGTATATCTGGATTTTTCCAAAAAATTTTTTCTCTTTACTGACACTTCAAAATCAGCCCTTGGGGCTATTCTCTCTCAGAGAGACAATCAAGATAAAGAGGAAGTTATCTATTATGCCAGCAGGACTCTGACAAGTGCTGAAAAAAATGACTCTGTTTTTGAACAAGAGTGTCTGGCCATCATCTGGTTTATTTCTTATTTCTGCTAATATCTTCATGGGACCCATTTTTTTCTCATCACTGATCACTCTACATAAGTCTTTGCTAAAGAATAAACTTTCTCAAAAAAGACTTGCCTAATAGATTCTTGCTCTTCAAGAATATTCTTTTACTGTCTTTCACCTTGCTAGGAAACAACACTCAAATATTGATAGCCTTTCATGTCTTGCTGAAATTGCAGACCAACTCACTCAGTTCTGACTAACTACTATCAACTTCAATTTTTATTCTTTTTATTTTTTTCTTCTTTTATTTCTCTACTATAAACTTAACTATTTTTATTTTGTATCTCCTTATAGAACTACAAGCTTATCAAATATTCTTTCGCTATTTTAGTGACCCCACCACTTAATCTAACTCTTAACAACTAAAGTGCTTAAATAACAAACTAGACATTATATTATTGATAACAATATTTTGTACAAAAAATATTAAAAAAATCTACATTAACTTTTGCATGTATTAAAACCTCCAAAGTCCAACTTGTGCTTTTCAGCATGTACTCTGACCTATTATCTGGCTATATTAATTATCTATCCACTTTCTAGCATATTACTCTCAAATATTTCTGGCCCCAGATAGAAGAAGACATTAAACAGTATATCAAATCATGTGATGCCTGTCAATATATAAGCTGTTCAAGAACCTGTGAACCTCTCCATCCTATCAAAGTGGGGCAACTCTTTAACAGAGTTAGGATCAACCTTGTTAAATCATTGGTTCCTACTCAAAAAGGCAATCATTACATAGTGGTTGCCACCAAGTATCTTACAAAGTTGCCAAAGGCACATGCTATACCTGATGCCATTGCTTCCTCAGTCACCTCATTCCTCATAGAAGATATTATCTGTCATTACAGATGTTCTAAAGTGCTCTTATCTGATCAGGGCAAGCACTTCGTCAACCATGTTATCAAGGCCATCTCTATCCAATTAAAATTTCATCATCATTATTCCACTACTTATCACTCCCAAACCAATGAGTTGTTAGAATGCTTTAATCGAACATTATACAAAGTGTTGACTAAGTGCATATTTAATTTTCCAGAGATTTATATCTCCTGCCTTGTTTGCTTATCAGACCACTAAGCATTTGACTACACAGCATAACCTATTTTTTTTTGCATATAGAAGAGATACCTTACTTTCTACAGAAGTAACAGCTCTTATGCCTGTTTTTTCTCTAGGCAATGAGACAAAATTACAAGAAAATCTTATAAGAAGGATAGAAGTCCTATTGGAAGACGATCTAGAATATGAAAAAAAGCTCTGAAAAGAATAAAAAACTCGCAGAAGAAGTAACAGGAATAACACAATTGAAAATTCCTACTTGAGAGCTACTTTATAGTCGATTGTGTCTTAAAATACCACTCCAAACTTCAAGGAACATATAAAGAGAAGTTGGAAAAGAAATAGGTTGGACTTTTTTATATTTACAATATCTTAGACTATAGCATCTATAAGCTCTGAACCTTGAAAGATGAGGTTCTAAAACAAAAAGTTCATGGTAATTGGTTAAAAAAATATCACTCTCTCTCTGACAAAGAAATTAAAGTTACCTCTACTTAGCTTAGCCTAGAAACCTCGCAAGGGCTCAAAAATTAAGAGAAGGAGTCTGTTACCTCAAAAATTTTTCTGTCAAGTTGTCTGATCAATTTCTAGATTATTCTGATCATTCTATATAATCATTTAATGATCATTGGCTAACAATTTCTTCTGTACTACATATTTTATTTCTATATATATATCTATAGTTTATCATTTATTTATTTATACTTTCTATACATATCAAATTCTATTTTCTTATATATTATTCATACTATAACAGGATCGAGGATGCATACTCTCAACATTGATAATAATTGCATAAATAGTATTGTCATCTAGATATAAGACAATACAACTCTTTTCTTCATTTTCTAATTGTTGTACTGCTATCAGGAAAAGATTTCAAAATTAGACAAGGAATCAAAGTCTAACGGTAGCTTCAAAGGTAAACAACAAGTATTTACTTGTTATAAAAACTGCCAGCTTGTCCTTTAAAAGGATTATTATGAACTTTTTGAATGAAGATAGTTGGAAAAGATATATTGAGAGTTTCAGAAACAATCCTTAAATTAGTATCAAGAATTTTCATTAGTGTTAAAAGATGAGAGTCTTTGTAATTTTTGTATTGTTTGATGAAAGAGAATTAAACCATCAATTAAGTACTATATTTAATTATGTAAAATAATTATGTATTTAAATACCCATTTTTGACTACAATAAAATTTTCTTCAGACTTTGATCTGTTTAAATAAAAAACTCATATACATATAAGTTAGTAGGCATTTTAAAGCTGAAGATAACTTATATTTATCTTGCATAATCAAATTCTCACACTTCTTGTTAGCATTAAGTTAATACTCATTGATATTTTATTAGTATATTGTTATCTTGATATATCTTTAATTATTTTAAGACTTATATACTGTTTATCATCTTATTGTTGAAATTACTATTTAAATCCTTATTTCTGTCTGTCCAAATTCCTTAAATATTCTTAATCTTATCTCACATCATTTACTGAATCGACCAGGGCGGCCATAAAAAATATGGGTCATGTGGGAGAGCCTCCTGTCACAATTGCAGCAGACGAATCAGTACTGGATCTATAGTGCTATCGCTACATACAAAAGCTTTGCCCCTGTATCGCATTTGCATATTATGCTAGTGGCGCAACCCACATGACCCTTATTTTTTATGGCCGCCCTGGTCAATTCTCATTTACTCCAAAACACCTTTAATTATACCTATCAGTATTTACTCGACATCCTTTTACAGTCAATATTCCTGACTTGTATTATTTACTGTCCTGTTCTAAACTAGCATATTTATCAATCTTTGCTCTTCTGCTGATAGTAACACCAGATTAAACCTGGATTATATTTTTAATTACTAATTATATCCAGATATAAATATAAATCAAGATGTTAACTCTATCTTCAACATAGTTAATCTTGTTATATTCAGTTCTGTTTCTTATCGAATATATAGATTTATTTAATAAATACTATTGTGTCTTTATACACAATTCTGTAGGCTGTGTGAGTTTGTTAAGAATCTTAGTAAACATGATTACATGAACACATGATTTCTTATTTGTTGTGTTGTTTCCTACAACCTTTTGTATCTTCATATATAATTGAGTTGTTGTCTTATTTGATAAAGCCTTATTAAATCCTCTTGATAAGTCATATCAATGATGCTCTATTAATCTGTCAAGTAACTAGATCATAGTCTTCATACTATCGATCTTCTAGTCCCTGAGTTGCATAGAGAGGTTAACTCCAGGTGTGATAACAGGTTTGTAGATTTTTATTTAAAATGACAATAATGTGAGGTTTATATATTTTACTAGTCTCTAACCCGGTGCATAGCACCAGGCTTTAATGTTATTAAATAAAAAATTTATATTTTTAATTTTATTTAATAACTTTAAAAGTTTTAAATTATATTTATTAGGAACATACAATTAAATATTCTATAAAAACAACTTTATTAAAAACAATATAACTTGTATTGCTTTGCTAACGCTCAGCAATACTAACTAAGCTTGCTTTGCTCACTTAGTAGTTGCTTGCTACAGCTAACACCTTCATACTGCTCCTGTTACCTAATGCTAATACTAACCCTAACCTTAACCCTAACCCTAACCCCAACCCTAACAAATCTTAGAATTAATTTTATTCTTAATCTTAGTCTAACAAATCTTAGTTTTAATTTTATTTTTAATCTTATTTTTAATTATATTTAAATAAGTTTATATGTTTATATTTTAAAAAAAAAAAATAAAAATGTTTTAAATTTAATATACAAATCTGGGCCTATTGGGTTCAGATTAGTATATTAAATTTAAAACTAATTATATAAATAAAAATTTATTTTTTTATAAAAAAAATAATATACTTTAAATTTAATATATAAATCTAGGCCTGTTGGGCCCAGGTTAGTATATTAAATTTAAAGCCAATTATATAAAATAAAATTTTATTTTTTTATAAAAAAAATAAATATGTTTTAAATTTAATATGCAAACCTGGGCTTGGGTTAGTATATTAAATTTAAAATCAAATATTCAAACAAAAAAAAATTTAATTTAATTTAAACTTTAAATATAAAATTTAAACTTTTAATTATAACTTTAATTTATTTAATTTTTTTTTATTTTATTTATTTATAATTTATTTAAAAATTTAAATTTTATTTTTTAATTTTTATTTATTTTTATTTTTATTTATTAAAATTCTAATTTTAAGCTCAAAATTTTAACTAAAACTCTAATCCTAACTCTAATTCTAACTCTAAACTCAGAACCCAAAACTAATCTTAACTCTAATTCTAAATCCAAACTCTAACTTTAAACACAAACCCTAAAACTCAAACTTAAACTCTAAACTCAAAACCCCAATTTTAATTTTTAATTTTATTTTTTAAACCTGATTTATATGATAAATATCTTGTATAACAAATCAGTTTTTGCGGTTTTGGACTTTTTTTAAGGTTCTAATCTAATTTGAGTTTTAGAATATAACAAATTATTATGTGATAAATAAGCATTTCTAATATGGTTTATTAATAAATGCTTATTTGTCATATGCATATTTGTTGTACCTAATACATTGAATCACATGGGAGTAATATTTACTATGTGACGAATAGTATCTCATATATAAATTTTATATTATTCATCATATGTTGCTTATTCATCATGACATTTTTTTTGAATTCAACGCTACTTAGTCAGAGTTTTAAAACTCTGACCAGGCATCGAAAATTTACAGAAACTCAAATTCTGAAATAAAAGTTTTATAACACTAAGTCAGAGTTTTAAATCTTCGATCAAGTCTCTAAAATTTGCAAAAACCCAAATTCCAAAGTCAAATTTTCATGACACTTAGTCAGAGTTTTAAACTCTGACCAGGCCCCAAAAATTTGTAGGAACTCAAATTCAGAAGTCAAATTTTTGTAACACTTAGTTGGAGTTTTAAAACTCTGACCAGGCCCCAAAAATTTGCAGGAACTCAAATTCTGAAATCAAATTTTGTGATACTTAGTCAGAGTTTTAAAACTCTGACTAGGCCCCAAAAATCCATGAAAACTCAAATTCTGAAGTCAAATTTTTGTGATACTTAGTCAGAGTTTTAAATTTCTGACCAGGTCCTGAAAATTTGCAAGAACTTAAATTCCAAGGTCAAATTTTTGTAACACTTAGTCGAAGTTTTAAATTTCTGATTAGGTCTCATAAAGGACCTGTATTTGTGCAAAGTGCCCAGATGGGTAAGTGGGTGGAGTAAGTGAGAATTTTGAAGAATTTTTTATGTGTGCTTTAAGATTGTGTACATGTTATATATTTTTTATATGATATAACTCATAAAAATCACACAGTGCACAAGGTTTGTGCTTTATATATTTGACTAGTCTCTAACCCTGTACATAGCACCGGGCTTTAATATTATTAAATAAAAAATTTAATAAAATAAATATTTTTAATTTTATTTAATAGGTTTAAAAATTCTGTGCACCTGCACGGTCGTGCACCTCAATAAAAACAGACTATGTGACAATGATATGGACATAACCACTGATCTATAAGTATCCAACCTTGCGATCTATTAACCAATCAAATTACAGAATTACAGTATTATAAAATTTCTATTTTATTGATACAATTAGCAAAATTAAAAATTTTTATTAATAAAATTCTTATAAAGGATTTTAACTACTACATGTATTGTCTTAGTTTTAAAATCGCTACTGATCTTGTAAATATCCATTAAGAAAATAATAAAAATTTTC